GGTTATAATTAGTATATGGTTGAGGGTTGGGGGAGGAATTTTATAAGCACAGGAATCTTAAAAAAAAGAGGGATATTGGATTATGGGATAATAGATTTGTACTTGTGAGTTATTGTTTTTAGACAAATATATTGGTATCGATTCTTATATATTGATACAAAGTTAAATTATGTTCACTATTGTATACATGCATGCTTCTACCTCTGTTTAAAACATTTTTATGTATTGATATATATAAATATATATAGTATTGATATATGTGTATTCACCATATTGCATTGTACACTTTACCTCTGATTAAGATACTTATATATTGTCTATGTATTGATATATATGTATTTAGCATATTGCAATGTATACTTGCACATTGTTTATATTTGGAGGTCACATTGTCCTCATTTATTGCACAGTTGTTTATTGTCTCAGTCTTTAAGTTAGATAGGTATTGAGAATTATATAGATCCATAGTCATCTAATTTTGTCATTTATAATTAGACTAATCAGGTTCTTTAGATACATAGAGATTATATTCAGTATAGATAGATAATCTTCAACCTCTTCAAAGAGCTGTAGAAAATGGCCTTTAATCTAATTCAGAGTTCTGTGGTAGTGAGACATAATCACTCCTGGCAACACCCATCTATTCCTGAGAGAATGTTGAGCACCAAAGTCACTCCACCTGGAGCCTTTCTTCTTGCCAGAACTGGCCTTTGGGTAAAGAAATGCCCACACCTCAACTACTGACAGAGTTACAGAATATCTGTACATGGATAAAACAGGACTGTCATATCCTGCCAAGACAGGGTAAGATAGTTTTGAAAACTTTCTTGCCTTTGAAAATGGTATGTCAGTTACGTCAGGCCTTAGTCAAAGTTGGTTGCTTCAACACTGCAAACGTGACTTTGGGTGTTTGCCCAGGTAGCCAGTTGTCTCAGTGATTTGTTACATGTTCTGGAAGTTGTTTGATTGCACTTCCTAATTACTCAGCTAACATTATTTCCCTTCTCAGATCTTCGATGGGATTGAAGATTATATAAATGTAGTTACTTTCCTCTCATTTCTTGGTCAAATTATTTGTTATACAAGACTTAAGCTAGTTAGAATAGGACATTTGTATTTATTGTATACAATTTCATAGATTTGTACTTACTGTATATAATTTCATAGTAGGCTTAGAACTCTCTTACTTAAACAAAAGGGGGAGATGCTGCGGGAGTTCCTTCCGCTCTTTCAGCCAATAGCCGCTGAGATACCAGCCCATTGGGGCGTGGTCTCTCTCTCTTTAAAAAAACAGCGGCTGTCCTCCACTCTCTTTCTGGCTTCCGGCTCCGCTTCTGACTCCTAGACTCCTTTCCTGTTCATGCGGAGGGGCTGTTGTCTGGGACGGTAATTTGTAAGTTTTTTCCCCTTTGAATAAATAACCATTCTATTAATCATAATTCCAAACTGGTGTGGGATTGTTTGTGACTTACGCCTTCAGTTTCCTTATTCATTAATGCAATCACAGCATACAGAGGGGACTTTTACACCAAAGCTTGGGTTCCTCTGTTGTTTGTATAATTCACCAAAGTTTATTTCTTCTGGTCATTGGCAATCATTGTTCTTACTGTCTAAAATTTTACTTTCAAACCTTGTGTGAAGTGGACTATTGCCACTTATTTCTGTGTTTTAAAGTGACCCTTCATGAGAGTTACCTGATCGTCATAATATCAGTCCTTATAGCAATTACTACTGTAGTACATTGTTTTTATACAGTTTTCTTATTTTTCTTTTCACTACAGACTAAATTCCCCAAAAGCAACAATTATGTTCTTGGATCACTGTTGTTCTTTCGGTCCCATCTTTCTGGATGCCAACTGCACAAGTTAGTTATACAAACAAGAAAAAGCATGGTAAATCATAGTAAGAAAAAAAAACCATGTAATTGTCTTCTCAAATTCTACTAATTCATGTTCTTGTTTTTTATTTTACTTTTTCTGTAGTTAGAGTTATAATGGCTCAAATCAAAAACACTGTGAAACTCAGAAACACACAAAGCTACACCCATGGTAAGCAGGACTGAGTAGAGGGGAAGGCTACCTCTTCATTTGTTTTCTTTATTATTTGGCTTTTTCAAAAAAATGAATTTAATGGGTGAGAGAGAAGGTTCAGCAGTTAAGAGCACTAGTTACTCTTCCGGAATATCGTGGTTCTATTCCCAGAACCCACAAAGGCAGTTCACAATCCTCTGTACATGTAGTTACAGGGGATCTGATGCTTTCTTCTGGCCTCAGAGGGTACCAGGCACACACATGATGTAAAGACATGCATGCAAATAAAAACACTCATACACATAAAAAGTGAAAATTATATTATATAATTTAAATTTAGGAGAATCACTTTATTGTAGCTTGAGTAGCTACCTCAGTCTAGCTGTTCATCTCTGAGTTCATGCCAATAAATTGATCTCATAGCATTTATATTGTCTTTTTAAAAGCCTTTGTGAAAAGTCAGTGGAATATTTTCTAAGATGATTAAACTAGTCATTAGAGTTATAACAATCAGTACCCTGCTGATGTCTACTAAGTATCAGTTAGTTTCATATGATGAGGTTAACTAAAGTACATGCTGCATAGTTCGGTGGTTATTGTAGATTTAGGACTGTAATATGTGATATAATTTGATGGGTAGAGTGTTCATGGTTCAAAACATTTTTGTGTAAGATACAGAAACTGAAAGCTTTAAATGAAATTTAGAATTACAATTTATGCCCTTGTTTGTTTTTTTTAGCAGTGGAAGTCTCAAAGTAATTTAAGTATTTTAATAAAGGATGTAGTTAAAAGATTTAGCCACTAGATGGAAGTATCTCAAAGCTTAAACAGTGCCTCTTGAAAGTATGCTATGGGCCCTTTCTCTCTCTCTCTCTCTCTCTCTCTCTCTCTCTCTCTCTCTCTCTCTTCCTTCACTCTTTGTGTTGTATGTGTCATTGTCACTGTTTGATGTTTTCTTTGTATGTACTAGGATTGTTTACTCTTCTTTCACTTCTAAACTATTGTCCCACTGTAATTATAACAGACATTATTTAATGCAAATGGAGAATGTTAAGGCCATTTCTAATCTTGAAGGCTGTTTTCTAAATGTTAGTAAAGTACGAATAAACTGCATTTTCATACTATCAAAGATACATAGAGTCACAGTTTACTTTTCTTAATTCCCGTAGAAATAAACAGAAGTGATTTTGAATTGTTTAATTTACTACAAAGTTTTAAACAAATTAAGATGTATTAGTTTCACTTGTTTCCTCTGCATATACTGTAGATTTTGCGGATCCAGTCTGTCTGGACACTCACCTTCCTGGACCTGGAGGGAGGGGGGAGGAACTTGAACTTCCCACAGGGTAGGAAACCCTGACTGCTCTTAGGGATGGAGAGGGAGGAGGAGAGGGAGTGGGGGGAGTGGGAGGGTGGTGGGAGGAGAGGAGGAAATGGAAACTTTTATAATTTAATAAAATTACTTTCAAAAAAAAGATGCATTAGTTTCTTTTTGTTTGTTTGTTTGTTTGTTTTTTTCTAGACAAGGTTTCTCTGTGTAACAGTTTTAATTGTACTGGAACTAGCTCTTGTGACCAGGCTGGCCTTGAACTCACAGAGATCTGCCTGCCTTTGCCTCCTGAGTACTGGGATTAAAGGTGTATGCCACCACCACCCAGCCAGTATTAGTTTCTTTTTAATACACATAAATGACAAAGATACAATAATAACACTGTTTTCAATGTATAATGGCACATATAAAATAATAGTATCATGTTATGATTTAGATCTTTTTTAAAAAATTATTTTACATGTTACATGTGTAGGTGTTTTTCTGTATGTATGTCTCTGTACCACATTCATTCCTCTCATTCATAGAGGCCAGAAGATGACATTGAGTCCTATGGAACTGAAGTTATATGTTGTTGTAAGTTGTTATAGAAATGCTGGGAACTGAATCCTCACTCTCTGTACGAACATGTGCTCTTAACCACTGAATCATCTCTCCAGCCCCCATTGTTTGGATCTTAAGTGTCTCTCACATATTCAGACCTTGGTTGTAGCCCCATAGTGTCATTGTGGAAGGGTGAGGAGAGAGTAAGTTACAAGGAAAGTGCCTTTAAAGAGGCCATGGGTCCACTTCTGCTCTATCTTCTGACCCCTACCGGCTACAGTGTTATGGTTCCACTGCAACCTCCATCAGGTTCTATCTTCCCACAGACCCAAAAGCAAGGATTCTGGATGCCATGGATTGAAGTTTCTGAAATGGTGAATTAACACAAAGTTCTTTTTCGTTTTGGTTTATTTCAGTTATTTCTCTCTGCTCTGGAAAGATGATGAAAGGCTTATCAACATCACATGCCTCCTATATGAATAAATGAAAAATTCAGATATGTCAATATCTTGGGAATTTTCATAAAGCTACAAACTGAGCACATTTATGGTCATTTTGGTAATTCCCTACTGAAGAACAGTACATTCAAATAAGCTTTGTGTCTTGTCAAGAATCGTAACTAGGTAAAATCTGAATTGAAATGTGTGCTGGCTAATTTTAGGTCAACTTTACATGAGTTAGAATGATTCAGGCAGAAGGAATTTCAATTGAGAATATACTCCACCAAACTGGTCTATGGGCAAGCTTGTGGACCATTGCTTTTTTTCATTGATGATTGATGTATGAGACCCCAGGTCATTGTGGATACTTTCATAACTGGCAAGGTGGTCCTGGGAGCTATGGAAAAGCAGGCAGAACAAGACATAGGAAACAAGGCAGTAAGCAGTACTCTTCCATGGTCTCTGCACAATATCCTGCTTTGAGTTCCTGGTGTAGGAGGTCCTTCTGTTTGTGTGTTGCTTTCATTGGTTAATGAATAAAGAAACTGCCTTGGCCTGGTTGATAGGGCAGAACTTAGGTAAGCCAGGGTGTGTGTGTGTGTGGGGGGGAACAGAACTGAATGCAGGGAGGAAGAAGGGCAGAATCAGACAGAGAAGCCATGGATCCTCTGCCTGAGATGGACGCCAGTTAGAATCTCTGGTAAGCCACAGCCACGTGGCGATACACAGATTAATGGAGATGGGTTAAACGAATATGTAAGAGTTAGAGCTAATGGCCAAGCAGTATTTTAATTAATACAGTTTCTGTGTGGTTATTTTGGGTGTAAGCTAGCCAGGCAGCCAGGATGACCAAGCGGGCCCAACAATTGGTAGCAACAAGTTCCTACCCAGACTTCCCTGAATAATGTGATATGATGTCTAACTATAACCTGAAATAAATGCCTTCTTTCCCACATTGCTTTCCATCATGGTGTTTCATCACAGCAGCAGTAACTCTTTAACTAAGAGAAATCAGTAACAGGTTTATAGGACATTGCTGTGACAAACCTGACAATGTTGTGTTGTGGTTTATTGTGGTTGGCTTTTAACAAATTAGAGTGAACTGAGTAGGAAATCTAACCTAAAGAACTGTTCCAATTCCCTTTGATTGATGTGGGCAAGGCCCACTCCAACATAGGGTACCAGCCCCAATAAGAAAGAAGTTTATTATGCCCTTTGCTCCCTGACCTTCCCTCTGACTGCTGGAGTTGGCATGCCCCATTATTACCCTGAGAGTAGAATCAATGTTTCCAAGCTTTCGTCATGCAGTGGGGACCAGTGGCTCTCCAGGAACTCCCTGGGTTCCTGGCACCAGATTGGGACTACTGGGACAGTCTTCCTTGTGGACTGAGTAACCTAGGGGTCATCACCCCCTAATGAGAGACAGATGTTCCGGGTTCCTGTGATTGCTGAGTCATCCGGCCTCAGGGACTGAATAACTACCAAGTTTGTAACATCTCAGGTATCATGTGGCTAGTGTTACTATTATAAAACTAAATTCTGATGCATGTGTTGGGGGGGAGGGGTATAGTCACCTTTTTGGTTGTGTTCCTCTAGAGAAGCCTGAGCAAAACAGTGCTGCAGATAAAGCATTGTCTTTGAAATTGAGTGGAAATGTCACTTCCCCATCTAGATGTGGAATATGTCTATGCCCATGCTTCTGCACATCTTAGTGAAAGACCTGAATAAATCCAGATCCGCCTAGCAGGAAAAAATAAAGCCAAAAATCTAAGCAGGGAGGGAAGAATCAGAAATCTAGGGTTAGCCGGTTCAGTGTTTCAGGAACTAGCTGAAGATAAAGTTAGATTGTAATCTTGAGAATAATCTTGAGAAACAGGGAGTGTCCCCGCCTTGTGATTATCATTGGTATTTTTTGGAACACTGTGTTCCAGAAACTAGCTGTTTATTACCTTGAGAGTGATCTTGAGAGGCAGGGAGTTGCCCCTTGAGATCATCACTGGTATTTTTGGAACTTTCTGTGACGCCCTCCCTTCCCCTTTGGGTTGACTGGGTTGTGGTTTCTTCCCTTAAAAACCCCTTATCCCAGCTACTTAGGGTCGAACTCTTCCTCTGCGTGGGTTATGAGTCTCGGCCCCAGTGCACTGGTTCCCGTCTTCCCGTCGATTAAACCTCATGTGATTGCAGCAAGGACGGTCTCTCGTGAGTTACTGGGGGGGTCGTGTCATCCCAAGGCTTGAGTGAGAGTTTCCCCGATATTGGGGGTCTTTCATTAGCATTCTGAAACAGCACCAGGCAACCATATCTTATCTTGCAAGATGCATTATGAGTCCCAGCTCCTGTGATGAGCCAAGGAACAGCACCAGAAGTTGCTTTTTTGTTGTTGTTTGTTTTGTTTTATTTGGCTGAGACAGGGGTTCTCTGTGGAACCGAGACCAGGCTGGCCTGGAACTCACAGGGATCTGTTGCCTCTGCAGCTGGAGTGTTGGGATTAAAATCATGTGCCACGATGCCTAACTGAGAAGGTTCATTCTTAAACTCCCATTTGCTGCTGCCCACCAGGAAAATATACCTGAGGACTCAATGACCTGTAAAAATGCATCTGCATAAAACAGCTAACACTGAGGAAATTCAAGAAGATTAAAAGTCTTAAGTGCAGTGGTCTTTCATTGATTCTTTGATAATTCTGTTTTGAAAAAGTGCCAACTTGACCATCAGAATTGAAAACATGATGATTTTATAATTTCGTAATTTCTAGGGTAAACTTATCGTTGTAAGATACAAGTGTTCATTTCTCCTTCCTGAAACTAGGCCCTATGCTTACTTGTGTTCTATTAGCATTTTAGCAGCCCCTCCCACAACCCCAGATCACAGGCACACAGCAGTGATGGAAAATACCAATATTTGCTAGATATTTATTTTTGTTTCATTTTTTTTTGTTCCCAAAAATGCTAGGCAAGAAAGACTTGATTTATGGCATTAAGTTGATTGTTTTAAAATTTGCCAATGCAGAAGAGGTAAACTTGAGGTGTCTGAGGAAGTGTGCAATGGTCTTAAAATCACCCCGCATCTACTTTCACTGAAAGCAGAGAAAGCTGACTTTTGCTCAAGGTTCCCTCTAAAGCTCAGGAGAGAGTTCTAAAGCACAGGAATAAACAGCATAGAACTTTCCTAAATCCTCCAATACTCCGCCTTGGTCCCCAAGGCACTCTGTCTGCCATTGCCTATCTCCCCTGCAGCTTTTAAAGTGCATGCCCACAGCGGATTACTGTAAATCCCTTATAAATTATATCCCTCCTCACCCACCCAGGATCTTCGCCTTCTCGTGCCTGTGAATTCAGGAAGTGTGGAGCTATGGGGACACCTAGTGCACACGATGAGAAGAGCAACCAGTTTTTGTAAAGCGTACACCAGGGCAGAACTCTGTACACAATAGCGTAGTTGTCAAGACAAAAGCGCCGCCATCAATACTTTCTCCTGAAAACAAGATTCACTTGAAGGGAAGAATTCTTTCTTACTCTTTAGAGTTTGCCATATCATTCGCATAATTTACAATCTTGTTTGTAGATGTGGTAAGTTCAAACTCGAGACATGCTAACACTAACACGATGCTTCCATTATTTCTAACAGCAATGGAAAAGACGGTAAGAATCAGTACACAATTAGGCCCTTCATAACTGGGAAATATTTTTTTAATCTTGCTAATATATAGAATTGGCAAGGTGATTGGTCACCTGTTTGCTCCTATCTCCTCCTTGGAATACAAATTGAAGGAACTAATGAAAGCCATTTGGCCATAGGAATCCTAGTGCATAAGAACTCTCAAGATAAACTCAGGATGACATTTAAAATTATGCATTTTCTACGTTTTCTATACATTAAAATGTAAGAAGGAATGCACCAGACAATGGTGTCATTTTGCATAGTTATTTTAAAGGAAGGTCTGTTGTGAAGATGGCATTTCTATAGTGATAAGCTGTCAGGGGGAAAAAAAGACCATGGACTTTAGTTAGTCCAGAAATCGATACAGTGACATTATGTATAATCCTTGCATTTGTGTGCATATGTGTATTTTGGGAAGAAAGTACATAATGGCCTTCATGAAATTCTCAAAGGTGCCCATTTGAACACTGCTGCATCAAATAGCCAAGGCTTGAGGGTTTATTGAAGCCCATTTTACTCACCATACAAAGAAAGGCCTTCTCTATTTAATTCTGCATTCACAGTAAGAAGCAGAGGTCTAAAACAATTTAGGTTTCCAGGGCCCTATGCTGTCTCATTACTCTAGCATAACTGCAAACCCTAGAGTATCTCTCTACTGTTTGGAAACATAAAACCTCTTATTTTTTGCATGTGTGCTATTATATTTATTACTATCGAGGAATAAGAATCCTTGACCGAACAATAGGATAAAGATTTTAATGCCATTGTTATTTTATTTTATAGAATGAATCAGCAAAAGGACTTGGACATGGCCACATTGCCTGTACATACTGATGAAAGCAAAAATGCATTTTCTGATTTATTTCTTAGATATTTGTTGACAGCTTAATGACAAACTCTTTATTCACAACTGGAGTTCCCACTTGTTTCCTAGCTTTTTTTTCCCTTTAATCCACTGAAGTTAGTTAAGTCTTCTTGGATGAGGGTGAATAAGGAGCAAGAGCAGCTTATCAGTGACTGCATCCCCCCTTAAAAATGGTACCCCTGCCAGCAACAATTAAAGGTCAATAGTTCCTTAGGAAGTGTGGAGTCTTCCACATTCATGATGGGATATGGAAGGGCTCACTCTTGTGCAGAAATGCATTGTCACTGTGTGATCAGGGCTGCAACAGCCATGCAGGATTTCACAGTGCTCTCCCCAGCCTCTGGTTCTTAGAGTCGTCATCTTCCCTCCTCCCATGATGTTCCTTAGGTTTGGAGGTGGAAATATAGATGATCTGATAATGCCTCTGATGTTTCAGATTTAAACTTCTGACTCTCCCAATTACTGACTACCCAATGAATTTAAAGACTTTAAATTCAGTGTTACTTTCTGCAATAATATCTAACCTTATGACTCGTGAGGAGAAATAAATGAGAAAATTATAGTTGAAATAATAAGGAATAAAATAGGCTCTTAACAAAAGATAATTTAACAATGTAAAATAAATGGAAGATGTGGAGATAAAATCATCATTGTATTAATCTTCGTCCTCTAGAGGAAACAGTGACAATTAGAGATATATGTACAGAGATACATCATCTCTCTCTCTCTTTCTCTTTCTCTCTCTCTCTCTCTCCATATATATATGTGTGTATGTATGAATATAATTTAAATATATATAAGTATATATTTATATATATGAGTATGTGTTTAAATATCTTTAAAAATATACAAGTATATATTTATATAAAAGTGTCACCTGCTATATAACATTAATTTGCACTTATTAGTTTAATTAATAATTAAAATTATTTATACATTTATTAATTTAAATATTAAATTAATTTTCAGGTGTAATTACAGAGGCTGAGAAGTCTTAGATCTTCAGTCAACAAATTGACTCAGGAGTCACAGTGAGATAGTTATAACTTGTGTCTAAAACTATGGAAACCAAAACAGCCAACTGTGGAACTCGTGGTGTGAGTCTGAGACTGATGCAGGCTCAGCTGGAAGGTCAGTCAGACAGAACAATAATCCTTTCTTATTTGGTCTTGTCGTCTGTTGAGACCTTCAATATACTGGATAAGGCCCATCTACATGAAGGAGGGAAACTGACTTTGGTAAAATTTTGGACTAAAAATTCAGAGATGAGATTCATCTAGAAACACTCTCACTGAGCACAGACATGACTCCTAACGATCTTGCATTCGTCTCAGTTAGACCAAGTTAAGTATGATAATAGCCATGTGTGAAAAGAGAACTAGAGCTTGTGATTATCAAAATGAAAGCACTTAAAACTGGAAAGAAACAAATCCTTATAATCGACACTGTAGAGGTTTGTAAAGTCTCCTTGAGTCTGAACTATTCCTGTACCACACTTTAAATGAAGATTGTTTTGAAGCAGAAGTTGTTGAGTTGGAATTCCAGCAGGGGGCTGACATCTTTCTACTTTACTACTAAAAGTAAAGGCTCATTAATAGTCAGAGTCCTTTATAAATACCCCCAGTGAAATCATCATGACTTAAATCATAATTACCTAGAGATCTTTGCAAATGTGTGTGTGTGTGTGTGTGGGTGGGTGTGTGTAGTGTGTATTTGCCATCACAACAGCCATAGCAATTGAAACAAACAGCAGAGAGTCTTATGTACTGATGTCTAATTATAGCTCATTCTTGAGCTTCTCTTAAATGTTTTTAAAATTATCTTTCTAGTGTAAGGCAAAGTTGTTAATGAAACAGTGGAAGGGACTACAGCTTTCTGTAAGAAATGAGATTGTTCTCCTTATGTTTTCTAAAAGACTTTGGGAATATAGTCTTAACATTCTTGATTCCACAATCCCAACACGATCTATGTGTGTGTGTGTGTTGACACGCTTGTCTTTCATTCCTTCTCCTTTTTAAAATTCCTCTTTTCTCTGTAAGACCTGGTAAAATCACAGGGCACATAAAGCGATTCCATGCTTTCTTAACTCCCGTTGTGAAACTCATTGAAACACACATTATCCTGGTAGACATACCATTCTGTTGTATAAATAATGACAGGATATTAATCATCAATTGTAAAACGGGTTAGAAATTTCTACATCTTTTTCTTTCTACAACATACATCTTGATTTTTTAACAACAAATTTTAAAATCAGTATTGTTGAAAAACTAAGTTCATTGATTTTTGTATCTGAACTGTATCATTTGTTCACCATGGCTCTTTGGAGAGCTGTTTGTAGGGAAAGTCACATTTAAACAGGTCCAAAATATAATGGGAGTCCCAGAGTTGATCAGTGATGCCTGTCATGTACACAGAAATACTGTTCTATCTTTCATGTATTTGAGGTGATGAACTCTAGCTTTTAAGCAACAGAGGATCCTGGATTTAACTTCTGGCATCCCCTTTTACCAGATAAATAGCAAATGATCTTAGATGCCTGTTATAGTGGTTTTTTTCTTTTAAAACATGAAGCTGAATAATTTATTAAAGAACAGAAATTTATCTCTTACCCTTTTACAGCCTGTGAAGACTCATATCAAGAAGCCAGATTTGGTGTCTAGGGAGGTCCCATACTTATTTCCTTAACGATGGCAGCTCATTGTAGTGTCCTTTAATGGAAGAAGGAACATAACTTATATTTTTGGCAATTTTACAAGTAACAAATTTGGTCAGGGGCATGACACTCTCTTGGTCGCACCATCCTCCGAAGGTTCTACTCTCTTTAGATAGTCACAATAAGAATTCAATAGGAATTAGATTTAACATAAATCTTGGGAAGGGTCTTTCTCTCTCCCTCTCCCCCTTTCTCCCTTCCTACCTTTCCTCTTCCTTCTTCTCTTTCTTTCTTTTTGTCTCTCTGCCTGTTGCCTCTTTCTGCTTGTGATCATTAAGTACGTGTAAAATGGCAATAGCCAAATACCATAAAACCTATTTTGTTGCATTACTGCTCTATCTGATGAAATTGTAAAAATGTTGCTAATTCTTCAGGTTCATCTCAGGCTGAAGAAGTAAACTGTTAACAGAGACATTAAGAATTAATAGTAGTCTTCAAGCATTTTCTCCTAAAACATCTCCTTTCAAGCATATCTAAAGATCAATGTCTAAAAACATAACTTTTGAAGCAAATTACTGAGATTGGGCAACAAATACTGACCTTTGAAACATCCTGACATGAAATGGCTCACTTACTGTTCCATTTAAGCTAAGTGTTTTTGAATCAAGCACCTTATTTGATCTCAAACTAATTATATTACTTCTCACTAGTTTGTTATAATGTCAAATGTATAATACGACAAAAGGAACTTCACACATTAGAAAGTATTGTCTGCACAATGTAAGAATATAGCTCATTCAATGTTATTTAATAATTCAGAAATCTTAAGGTATAGTTCACTGTTACTCCAACAGTTGAGATAGTCACTGTTAATTCCCTTTCAAGTTTCACTTTATATCATTTTTATAGAACCAGAATATCTTGAACATGCTCTTTTTTTTTAAGTCCCTTGGATTAGGAAGTAAGGAATCCATGCTGTTAAGACATTCTGAGAATCACTTTCATCTAGAATTAAGAACAGATTCAAAAGACACTGACTATAGCTGAGATTGTGAGGTCATCCAAGAAGACCAGGAGGGGTCAAAGGAGTTCAGGATGAGTTTCTAAGGTGTGCAGCACAGGGGCCTTCAGTCTCTGAGCTGTCAACCTGAGCCTTACATCCCCAACAGTTTTGTTGCACTCAGCCATGTGACAGGAGGGTCTAAGAGCAAAGTCAAGTCTTGGCATCCTGGGAAGTCAGTTTCTGTGAACGAAATCTTAATTGGACTCTTTTGTAGGGGTAGCCTGAGGAGCTTGCTTCTCTCAGGAGAGCTTATGTGAAATTCCTCTAATATAAAACGAACTTGATGGGACTCCGATAACACTTTGGCATGTAAAATAATGAATAAATTAGAAGGGACCGGAGCACTCCTCTTGCTAACAGCTGTTCTTAGCTGGTTTTTATTAGGCGGTGCCGCATATTGTAGCCGTCATGCCCTCCTACTGTGTGTGCTCCTTTCGCAGATGGCAGGGGAGGTTGTCTGTAGCACACATTCTGTGCTTATCATGATGATGAGCTGTTTCAACTGGAAAATTGCTATTGAAAAAGAAAAAAAAAGACTGTGACTCTCAGTGCCAAAAATAAGCATTTATCACTTAAAAAATTCAAAAAGAAGCCAAAGTCTTACCGTCAGTTTCCAGCTCCACACATCAGATTGGGAGGTGGAATGTGCAACCTCATTATGCAGCGATCCCGCTGATCAAACATCTGACTCAACCGCTTTGCCTCTCTCCAGACACACGCTTTTGACGGTTCTTCTGTGGATGAGAAGCCCCCACAGCCCTTGTTCTGTTTCCCTTCCAATCAACACATTTAAAATAGATTTATGAGAACAGTAGCTTCTGCCCTGTGGCCATTTGGATAGCTGTTTCTCAAAGAAGCTTCCCCAGACCCTGGCACTCCTCTCTGGAAAGTTGGTCCTTTGGCCCAGAGAGTGGATCAGGGAACAAAAGACTTCTATGATGAAAAGACTGTGGAGCTGAACTGAAACTGTCTTTCTTTGAAACATCAATTGTATCAGGAAGACTTCAAAGAGAGAGGATTTAAACCCAGTTAATCTGTTGTTCTACAAATCTATTTGGTCTTAGAATTTCTGTTTTCTGCCTCATAGACCCAGGTAGTCTGTGGAGAAGTGTGTGTATACAGTTTAGTAAACAGTGATCATACATGGCACTTCTTTACCTCTTAAATAGGATGTCTATTCTCTTCTCTCTGCCAAAAAATGGTGAACTTCAGTTGGGGATCTAAGAGCATTTATTATGTAGTCTCTAAAGCTCTAGTTAAGGGTGTCTCTTTTTTTCTCCTCAAAGATGTAAAATATCTTGTTCTCTTATTTGTTACTGAAATAAATTTTTAAATCTATTAGCAAATTATTAAGTATGAGTTTTTGTATCTTTGATGAGCCATGTGAAAAACTTTAACTTTAGTTCTTAAGTCAAATTAAACGACACATACAGTATACTTGCATTTCCCAGCTATTAACTCTTCTCTCCTATTCTATGCTGTCTGGAGAATTAGCTATGATACCTACACATTCAGTTTTGAATGAGTGAGTTTATTAAGTATATAACAAGCCAAGTGTAAAAGCATATAGCAAGAGACAGAGAGACAGACAACAAAGCATTATCAACTTGAATATTCAAAGCATACAGTAGAATCTGACTGTAGAATCTGACTGCCAAATTTGAGATACTCGGCTATCGTCCCCAATCAAGCTTTGTCTCTGTGGCACAGCTTCCAGTCATTTGCCACTGCAAGTACTTTTATATTACGGGTAAAGAACAGTAGCTTCTGCTGAAAATAGTTCATCTTCTAGATGTTCTGAAGGGCACTGGGCCTTTAATTTTTGCACTATATTCTTGTCCTCTTTGCTCCCTGTCACGGAGTTAGTGGACAAGCCCACCTACATCCCCAAGCAAGGAACTGTGAAGGACACTGTGAGACAAACTTGCCATGGGACAATGATTTTACCCTGTAAAGATTTGCTTCTTGTACTTGTTTAATAAAATGCTAATTGGTCAGTAGCCAGGCAGGAAGTATAGGTGGGGTGACTGGGCATAAAGTATAGGTGGGGTGACTGACCAGGAAGTAGAGACTGGAAAGTAGAACAGGAGAATCCTGGGAAGGAGAAAGACAAGAGGCAGTCTGCAGTCACTACCCAGACACAGAGGAAGCCAGATGAGAATGCCCCGCTGATGAAAGTTACCAAGCCACATGGCTAACACAGACAAGGACTATTGCCTAAATTTAAGTGATAAGAGTTATAAGAAGCTTGAGCTAATAGGCCAATCAGTTTATAATTAATGTAGACCTCGGTGTGTTTCTTTGGATCTGAACAGCTGTGGGATTGGATGAAACAGAAATCTTGGTCAACAGAAACATGTTAGAGTCTGAAATGGAGAAGGGGTATTCTTGATAACAAAGTTAGGTTTTCAG